AAAGCCCAACATACTAATTACACTATATTTCCGATAACCACATCATCGATTAAAATTCCGCATCACAAATCCATGCATGCTCTTATAATATTTCCAGCTGATATTAATATCCATTTTATTTATTTATGGGCTTAAAATTTGCATAAGAGTATTGATGTGCTGGGGGCGTCCGATCTGAAGGCAGAAACTCCTTGGGGTCAGCGACGGCTGGCGGTGCTGCCTTCAGATCGGACGCCCCCAGCACATCATTTTTGATCCAATCGAGCCGGATTGGCCCAACGCCCGAAATTGCTCAAGATAAGTACGAAGATCTACATATATTAATTTGCCGGTCTGCAGTCAGCCACTCGAAAACACTGTTTCGTTTGACTTTCTGCATGATTTTTTCTAAAAATCCAAGTCCGATTTAATCCGAAAACGGCAATTATTAAGATCTCTGCCATTTTCCGTTTTTCTTTGATCGTGCCGCCATATTCCCCCAATTCCTCTTTGGCCCGTACATCAAAGTGAAACCGTACACATATGTATGTACATACAAGTATACATACATCAAATGAGCAAAATTCCAAACTTTAACAAAGAGCGAAAATTGCAAACTTTAATAAAAAGTGAAAATTGCAAACTTCAATAAAAAGTGAATATTCCAAAAATTCCAAAAAGTGTAAAGTGTGTAAAATATTCGAAGTGAACAGTGAAGAAATAATTTCTGTGAAAAAATTCCAAGTGTTCTGCCGAAAAAGGGCCCCCAATTTCAAAGTGTTTTTTGTCACTGTAGTCCTACGCTAAATATTTTGCACACCTTTTCTTGCAATACAGTCCACTTAATTAAAATCGAAAGCTCAACACATACCCGCCGGCAATATTTTTTAATAAATTTTCCGCCAAAAAAAAATACAAACATAATTATCCAAATATATTACATATACAACATACATATTTTCTACTTCCTACAGCGAAAATATACCAACATTAAAAGTTTTCCGTCGGCCTCCGTGTAGCATAAAATAAATAATTACAATCCACCACCGACTAGGAAAACTTTGTTGGTTGCAGTGTGTTTTATTTCTAACATTTTTTGGCGTGAGCGCGAATTGCACAAACGCACATACATAAATATATCTCCAAATATATTCCATATACTCCATACATATTTTCTACTTCCTACAGCGAAAATATACCAACATTAAAAGTTTTCCGTCGGCCTCCGTGTAGAATAAAATAAATAATTACAATCCACCACCGACTCGGAAAACTTTGTTGGTTGCAGTGTGTTTTATTTCTAACATTTTTTGGCGTGAGCGCGAATTGCACAAACGCACATATATACATATATACACTTATATCCAAATCCAGCATACCAATATACACATATACACCCATACCCATTAGGGAGCCGTTGCACGACATCCAGTGCAAGGTCTTAAACATATAAAATTTTTCCAAAGACAAAATAAATTATTTCTGAGCTGCAATAAATAAATTCCAACTCCAATAACAACACATAATTAATATTCCAGTCAAATTAAAATTAAAAATACCAAAATAATTGGAAATTAATTTTTTTATTATTTGATTTGTTTTTTTTGTCCAGCAACATACAATAATTTAAAAAAAAAAAAAAATTTATTTCTTTGTCTGGTTCCAAAAAATTTAAGTGTGAACGTCACTCCGTACGGCACACCGTTTGTTGATAGCTCAGAAATATTTAATAATATATAATAAATATTTGCAAATAAATTATTTTGGATAAATAATTAACTTCCATTCTTCGAATAAACTACCCGTTTTGTTTTTTTTTTGTCTTTACCACAGTTGGTATTATTTTCTAAAATAAAGTAAATAAATACCACACAAAATAATAATCACATATCCGTATTATAAATATACTAATTATAATATTCTTAATAACATTAAGAATAAATATTATTTAATTATTCTGGTTTTTTTTTCGCTCCTGTGCATATTAAATATACCCCGTTTCCACTGGGCATATATTCCTTTTTAATTTATCGTCGCTTCCATAGACCGTCTCCCTTTAGCGAGACAAATTCCACAAGTCAGCTAAATACAAATTTTTTCAAGAGTGCAATTCCAGCAACAAAGGTCTAAAATTTGTTTCTCACGACCAGCACACTCGTTTTCCAACCGAGGGTTCGTTTTTTGGCATGTCCAGTGAAGGTGGGAATAAAAAATCTCCCATTCCACCAACAAAAACTCCGAAAATTGTTGTCAAACCGCCCACACCTAAACCTTCCAGTAAGACTCCTTCTCCCCAAGGAAGGCTCACTCGTTCCGATACAAAAATGGCTCTAGCTGCGTCCGATCTTGCGCTGAATCAGTTCAGTGAGGTTTCAGATCGACTTAGTGAATTCGAAGCGAGATGCAACACTCCGGCGCCGACTCCCCCGAGCATGCCCATGCTAAATATCCGGCTCGAAGGACCAAAAAATGATGTGCTGGGGGCGTCCGATCTGAAGGCAGCAACTCCTTGGGGTCAGCGACGGCTGGCGGTGTTAGCTGTGGGGGCAAGAAAAGAACACACTCGGCGATCGCGAAAAGAAAGAAAGACTTGGATGTCGGGTGATAGCGCGGACCGGCCGGGCGTTTATTCAAGCGTATGACGTTTTGTAACTAACTTAAGCTATTCTAAGCTAGGCGCTTGGAGGCGCAGCGGAGACTTCTCGCGCTCGGGGAGTGGAGAGCCTGGACGGCCGAGAGCGACATGCTCCAAGCTTCGGGAGAGGGAGAGTGCGGTGTGGGGAGAAGCTCCGGGAGAGGGAGAGCGGGAGAGGCATGAACAAGTATTAACTTTAAAACAAAGTACTAATAAACTATATCGGATAAAAATTGTAGCTAATACTTGTAAGAAAGGCGAAAATTAAAAATTGCCTCTACTACGAAATTTCTACAACTAACTAACCCTTTTTTTGATGTTTTTTGAAGTCTTTCGTCACCCCTAACATAAAAAAATACACCCCATCTCCGTTGCAAAATCTTTGTAAGACAGTGTTATTTCCCAAAAAATCGACTTTTCCATTCCACGTGTGCTCTCTGATATTTTTTATTTTTTTAAATAAATTCAGAACATCTCCAAATAATTTTAAGAGGTTCCATTCCACGCGTTTCAAGGCTTTATTTATTGCCTTATCAATTTCTCTGATCGGACTAATTCAACCGTGTTGAAGTTTTTCCTCCTTCGGGCATTACGTTCCATTCCACGTATCCCAACGCATATTCTTTCTAAATATACTTGGACTGGAGACCATTAGGGCGGCAGGCGCGGGGACCGCCTAAATGCGTACAGTGCTACATAACAAGTAGGAATATTGTTATTCCGTGTACGAAACTCTGGCGGCTCAACTTAGCGAGCAAATAGAGAGAGCGACGGCTCCAACAAACTCTACAAACCCGCCAAGTTATATTCCCTCCGGATGTCGCTTACCTCCATGTGACACCGAAGTTTTTGAGGGTGATTATATAAAATGGCCAACATTTAGGGACCTTTTTACAGCAGTTTATGTCAACAATCCTAGGTTGACACCGGTCGAAATACTTTTCAATCTCAACGCTTAAACTAGCGGCGAGGCTAAGGCAATCGTAGCCAAGTCCCCTCTCACAAATGAGGGTTTCGATTCAGCATGGGCAGCGCTTCGAGACCGTTTCGAAAATAAGAGACTGCTAGTAAACAGCCAACTCAAACTCCTTTTTAACTTGGGGGTCCGTCAGTTCCGAATCAGGCCAGGCTCTGAAAGATCTTCAGAGCACAATCCAAGGGTGTTTAATCGCTCTGGCTCATTCCAACATTTCCACAGAGAGCTGGGACTGTCTCCTGGTATTCCTATGCGCCAGTAGATTACCAAAACTGACCCTCTTCTGATGGGAGCAGTCCCTTTCATCTAAATCCGACATTCCGACTTGGGATGAGATGAACACGTTTCTTGGTGACCGATACCGAACGCTAGAGGCGATTGAGGATATGAAACTAAGCCACAGCAATCACTCTACCACTAAAAGTCAACCCGTCTCCAGAAAGCTCAACTCCTTCGAAGCTAAGCTGGTTTCCAAGTAGTCATCCAGTACGCTTATGCCAGCGTTTTCTCCAGATGTCTGTCGATGCGCGAACCAAGAGAGGCCACCATCTACGTGAATGTACTAGCACTCACAGCTGCTTCACATGTCGAGTGCGGCATCATACGTTGCTGCATAACGGCAACCCCAATTCCCGTGGGTCAACTGCCGGAAATAGTTATTCTGCAATCCCCAAAAATCCAGCTGTACAGGGGGCCGCCAACGGTTTAGAAAATCTGCCCGTTGTGCAGAATTATTTCGCAACCGGTGCTAGAGCGGTTTTGCTAGGCACGGCCATTATCGACATATGCCACTTGGGCACGAACTAAAGGGCTCGCGCTCTAATAGACTCGGGTTCTGAGGCTAAGTTTATTACGGAACGCGTGTTCAATGTAATTAAACCGCCATTCCGCTGTAGTATGCTCACATATTGGGTACCCTCTGATCCAGCTACATATATTTAATTACAATGTTGCGCACTTAACATTGCGAGTTAATACATAAGCCAAATGTGCAGAGTAGCATAAACAAAAGGTTCCCAGCAACTCAAGTGCGAGCCCTGCAGTTCTGGCTGTTCACAAGTGAATTTTGGCAATTGCCAATCATGTGTGTAGGAAAGGGAAAGGGATATTCCTAAGTTTCCCTCTCTTCCTCACTCTTATAATACGATTTCGTTGCTTGCACCCGAAGGCAGCCCGACTCCAAATTTGTCTTCTATTCTTTCGTTTTTCTAATTGCACTGTTGTCATTCTCCGTTAGAAACAAAAAATTAGTTTTCGATGGAAAATACGGCTGAGGGGCGCTCGACTTATGTATACTCTTCTGATGCTAAAGTTCTTCAAATATAAATATAATATAACATATAATATATATATATATGTATACATATTATTATTTAAATTATGGAACCGAGGTAACCATAACATTGATTACAAATGTATGTGGATACATATAATATAACTCGCGTGTCATTTATGGTCGGTTACACCCAAAAAGAAGGGTATACTAAAAGGGTGAAAAATAAAATTTAACTGTGTCATTCTTTTGCGTAGTGCGTTGACAATATGTTGTCAAATTTCTTCATTTGTGCAACGGGAAGCGGAAATGTTTAAAAATCATGTAAGTGTCGTTAATATTACAAAAATATTATGTTTTTTACTACAAACTTATTTAAATCTTTTTAGGATTAAGCCATACACATGTTTGTCCGATAAATTCGTTTGAAAGGTAAGTTTGCGCTAAATTAAAAAAAAGTAATATATAATATGTAATAACGAAAATATTTTTTGTACCATAGATGGACGCAAAACAGCCGATGTCCTGCAAATACTCTACATAAATGATAAACAAAAACTTTCGAATTTCATATTTTTAATGTGCTTATCTCTTATGTTACAAAATAAGGTATTTTATAAAATAAATAAAAAATATATATATATATTGTTTTTCATATGAATTTGGGGATGAAATTTTGAACATTGGCATATATGATTTCCCTAAGGGCGATCCTCGAGGAAAACCCCGCTTCCACTTCCGCTCCGAATTCCTCTATGCCTTATACGAATTTTTTCCATACAAAATTCGTATAAGGCACCGAGGAATCGTTCGATGAAACCGCCAAAAAGTTCATCGAGAGCTGCACCTATGAAGAAAACTTGAATCCCATACAAAATTCCTCGCGCAATTCCTCGGTGCGGGCATACCTTCGTACCCCGGTTCCTCGGTGCTTCCTCGCGGATTTCATATAGGAAAAAGCCATTTTGGAACTGCAGGGAGCTTATCCAACTCACACAAGTATGCCACGGGTCTGCAGGTTTGACATGCGCAACCGAAGTGCCAAGTCGGCATGCCTAGCATGCGCGACTGAGCTGATCATATGTAAGCATAATACTCTCTCACGCTCTACACTGCGCGCTTGCTAAATACGCAGTCTATATATACACTGCTCGCCACTTGAATAGGACACCTCTAAACTAGATTTTATAACTTTAATTGCTGCCAAGCCAAGCCATCTAGGAACATAATTTTATTGTTTTAGTTAAGTTAATTTAAATCTAGTAGTGTTGCAAAAATTACAATATTTTTAAAAAGTTGTAAGTATAAAAAAAAATTGTTAAACAATTAGTAACCAATTGTGCAGTCTTCATTTTGCACCACTTGATTAGGACACATTCCCAAAAAAAATGTTTAGAATTTTCAAACTTTATTCAAACATTAAAATTACTTAATATATTCTAGTTTAAGGTATTTTGTAACAAAAAAAATTTTTTTAATAATGTGTTGAGCCACCTTTGTTTTCCAAAACTTCACACATTCGGTTTGGAAGGGATGCGTATAATTTTTCCAAATAACTCAACGTAATCGAGTCCCATGCTAATTTGATAGCTGCCATAAGCTCGGGAACGCTCGAATATTGCTGGCCGGATCCATATACTTCACGTGTTAGCCATCCCCACACATTCTCAATGATGTTTAAGTCCGGCGAATATGGTGGCCACTTTAATACCTCCACGTTTTGGCTTGTTATATACGAATTAACTATCCGAGCCGTATGTATTGGGGCATTATCGTGTTGATAAATCCATTTTAAATTTGCGAAAAGTGTTTGGAAGTGGGGAAAGGCCTCTTTCAATATTGCATTATAGCTTAATGCATTCATGGTAGTTTTAACAAATTTAAGCTGACAGGTGCCATAATAAGAAATGGCCCCCACACCATAATACCTCCAGCACTGCTGTGCAACTTATCAAGATGGTGTGGTTCTTTTCGAAGATCATGAAAATAGTAGCTGTAGCCATCTGGACCCTCCAAATTAAACTTTTTTTCGTCTGAAAAGACGACACGATGCCACTCCGAAGTCCAGGTCACATGAGCGCGAGCGAAATCAAGGCGTTGCAGCTTCCGAACCGGGTTAAGAGGTGGCTTCTTCTTGATTTTTAGTCTCTTCAGATGTGGAACATTATTGATGACTCGACGCATGGTTGTCAAACTTGCTTTGACGTCACATTTTTGTCTTATCTTTGCCAAAGAGTCGTGCGAATTGGAAGCTTCTCTGATTATAAGTCGCTTGTCCGCGCTAGTAAGTACACTGTGAGTGCGGCCCTTCATGTTTTTGCCATAATTATCCTCATTATTTAAAAAATTGGTTACCACGTGACGGCTCCTGTCGATTTTTTTAGCTATTTTGGCAATAGATAAGCCAGAATCCTTGTAGGCTTGGATTTTGCCTTTCTCCGCTTCAGATAATGAAGTGCCACGCCCCATTTTTACTTTTTAATTTAATTTACTCTTGAATTAAATGAAAAAGCCCAAGTAACTTGAATTTGGCGTGTTTGTGCGAACGATACCGACAAAATAAAATGGATGTTCTATTCAAGTGGCGCAAAAATTTCATTGTACTTTTACGAATGCTCACAAAAAGTGCACACAACTTTATAACGGTTCTATTCCAAATCTTGGAATATACCAGAAAGAGCGAATAAAGTGTGGACACAGATAATATGCAAAAATTCCGTTATTTTATTATTTCGTTTTCGAGTTATGAGTCGATGTAAAGGAAGCATACAGGGTGTCCTATTCAAGTGGCGAGCAGTGTATATGCTTATGTATTATTATAAGCGACGGCTGCTCCGCTGCCGGCGTCTCCGACAGCGCAGCTGCGCAGCCGAGGGCATGTCTATACTTTGGACAAATGCCCAAGAGCAGAACTATATCGGATGTTCTTCCAATAAGACCTGTCCTGCTCCAACTTCGGTTATAATATTCAAACACAATAAATGAACTAAATAAACTAAATTAACCAACTAATTTTACATTTATTTGGTGACTCCGGCAATGTTATTACATGGCGACCGTGACTAAATCTGTAATTTTCGGATCGAAATATGTGAACAAAGTGCGATTAAAAGAAAAAACATATAAGTGAAAATACAAAAAAAACTATGCGAATATATTAAAAACGGACATCGGAAAGTTAAATAAAAAATTACCAGCCTGTGTGAGGACCAGCACCGGCACTGCCTGAGCCCAGAGGCCCAGGACATCAATGCGTGAGGGGCAGACCGTCCCTTGCGCCGACGTTGGAGAGAAAAAAAAAGAAACAGAGGGATATCATTTCAAAGTCATCACGGATCATATGGCACTGAAGTGGCTCAACAGTATCGAGAGCCCGTCAGGAAGGATTGCGAGATGGGCGCTGGAACTCCAGCAGTATGACTTTTAAATATCCTACCGGAAAGGCCAACTTAATGTCGTGGCGGACGCCCTGTCGAGACAGCCATTGCCGGCGGAATGCCGCCGAATGAAAGCAGCAAAGCCAGGCCCGAAGACTGCGGAACGCGACTGGATAGCGGAAATGAGAAGCAAGGTGGCGCAGAACCCGCAGAAATATCCGGATTACAGGCTGGAAGGCGATCAAATGTATCGCCACATACCCCACAGAGCGGGGAACGAGGACGTGGTCGCGTGGAAGCTGTGCGTACCCAGAGAATCGAGACAGAGGGGAAAACCACGACGCGCCAACAGCCGGTCACTTGGGCAGCAGGAAAACAATCGCAAGAGTGGCTGCGAGGTACCACTGGCCGGGCCTGCATAGGGACATCAGAGTCTACGTACGTAGCTGTGAGAGCTGCATGAAGTACAAGCCGAACCAGCTGCAGGCGGCAGGCAAGATGTTGACGCAGATTCCCGAGGAGCCGTGGGCGACAGTATGTGCCGATTTCGTCGGGCCACTGCCGCGGTAGAAACACGGCAATGCAATGCTGCTCGTGCTGGTGGACCGATTCTCGAAGTGGACCGAGTTGGTGCCGATGCGGAAGGCGACCACAGAATCGCTGCAAAAGGCGATAAGGGGAGAGAATCGTCTCGAGGTATGGTGTCCTGAAAATCCTGATCACGGATAACGGGATGCAGTTTACCAGTAGGTCCTTCAAAAAATTCCTCGAAGAGTTGGGGGTGCGACACCAGTTTACTGCGCCGTATACGCCCCAGGAAAATTCGAAAGAGAGGGCAAATAGGACTGTGAAGACGATGATCGCCCAGTTTGCAGGGGCCGACCAAAGGACGTGGGACGAAAAATGGCCAGAATTACAGCTGGCCGTTAATACCAGTGTGGCGGAGTCCACTGGGTACTCGCCAGCATTCGTCACCCAAGGTCGAGAACCCCGACTCCCGAAGGCGCTATATGATGAACACACGATCATGACCGGCAAAGCCACGCAAACACCAAGTGAGAACGCACAAAAATTGTCAGAAATTTTTGAGTTAGTAAGGCGTAATATGGAAAAGGCGGCGCAGGATCAGGCGCGCCATTACAACCTGCGCAAGAGACCATGGACCCCAAGGATTGGCGATAAGGTCTGGGCCAAGGAGCACCACCTGTCAAAAGCAGTGGAAGGCTTCGCGGCGAAATTGGCCCCCAAATATGACAGGCCATTTACGATCGTTGATTTTGTTTCCCCAGTAATATGTAACTTGCGGCACTGCCTGAGTGGCAAGGAAAAAAGGTCTCACATTAGTGAGTTAAAACCAGGCACATCTGAGGGGAAACAATGAGTAACGGCCGTCATTGCGGGGGCACACTGTACGGGTGTTTCATAAGAAAGGGAGAGGACGATACGGAGTATCGATGCAGTGCCTCCCACACACACGTACATGGAGCGAGAGCGCCAGGAGCGCGAGAAGCGGGTCAGTGGAGGGTACATAAGGGGCGATCACCGTTACCGGGCCACCAACACCAGCTCAAGAGAAAAGCTTTCACCGGTAACGGGACCCCGAACGAAGAAAGGTGGGAGAGGACGAAAACCGAGGTGTCGTCGAAGGCGACGGATAGAGGTTCGGTCTTTCCAATTTTTTCGCCAAGATGACCGGACGCCTAAACCACCGCCAGCTACTGCAGCAACAACGGCAGCAGCAGCAGCAGCCGCAGCGGCAACAACAGCAGCCGCAGCAGCAACAACAGCAGCCGCAGCAGCAACAACGGCAGCAGCCGCAGCAGCAGCTGCGCAAGCGCAAGTTCGGCGCGGAAGGCCGCGGCCGGCGGCAACAGCCAGGGGCGAAGTGGAGGCGTCGGCGCTCGTCGTCGGCACTCCAGCTACTGGCGTCGCCGTTAGTGTCGCGGTCCCCGTCGCCGGCCTGGCGCGACGTGTCGGAGAGGGAGATGTCCTCCGACGAGGAGGTCGACGGCGGCCCCACCGGCGAAATGGAGACGGTGGAGTTGTCGTCGACGGAAGAGGAGAGCGACGGAGGTGGTGAGACGGTGACCCCTGTGGTCTCCTCGGATGAGGAGGGCACCCGGTGGGCCAACCAGACCCGGTGGGGTTACCGTCAGGTGAGGCGGG